ATTCAACACTCTGGCTGGTTTTGGACTATGTGTCAGATGCCCTCTACTGCATGGACATCTTTGTGAGAGCCAGGACAGGTACTGATGGAAACTTAAGATTTTCAGTTTGTCATTATATAAAATCTTCAATACAGTATATGATAATGACTATCGTTTTCTTCTTTGTCAATAGGTTTTCTGGAGCAAGGACTTCTTGTAAAGGATGCAAAGATCCTGAAGGAAAAGTACATGAAGACACCCCAGTTCAAGTTAGACATGTTATCAGTGATTCCTACCGACATTGTTTTCTTCTATATCGGAATCAACAACCCAGAGTGGAGATTCAACCGGCTGTTTAGGTTAGGCCGTCTCTTTGAGTTCTTCGACCGGACTGAAACGCGAACCAATTTTCCAAACATCTTCCGAATCGCTAATCTTGTACTTTACATCATCATCATCATCCACTGGAATGGGTGCCTGTACTTTGCCATCTCAAAAATACTTGGTTTTGGGTCAGACACATGGGTCTACCCCGGGCCGAAAAAACCAGAGTTTTCTCAGCTGTCCAGACAGTACATTTATTCCTTTTACTGGTCCACTCTTACCTTGACCACTATTGGTGAGACACCACCGCCGGTCCGAGACGTTGAATACTTTTTTGTCGTGGTTGACTTTCTTACTGGGGTTTTGATCTTTGCAACAATTGTTGGAAATGTTGGAGCCATGATCTCCAACATGAATGCTGCACGTGTAGAGTTCCAGGCGAAGATTGACTCTATCAAGCAGTACATGCAATTTCGAAAGGTCACTAAAGACTTGGAGGCGAGGGTGGTGAAGTGGTTTGACTACCTGTGGACTGAGGGGAAAACCTGCGATGAAAAGCAGGTGTTAAAAAATCTGCCAGACAAGCTGAAGGCAGAGATAGCCATTAACGTACATCTGGAAACCCTAAGAAAAGTGCGCATCTTTCAAGACTGTGAAGCTGGTTTGCTTATTGAGTTGGTCCTGAAGCTTCAGCCTCAAGTTTTCAGTCCTGGGGATTACATCTGTAAGAAAGGGGATATTGGTAGGGAAATGTATATCATCAAAGAAGGAAAGCTCGCTGTAGTAGCAGATGATGGTGTTACCCAGTTTGTGGTCCTTAGTGACGGAGCTTATTTTGGAGAAATCAGCATCCTTGGGATCAAAGGTAGTAAGGCAGGTAACCGAAGAACAGCTAACATTCGAAGCGTGGGCTATTCTGATCTCTTTGCCCTGTCCAAAGATGATCTCATGGAGGCACTAACAGAGTATCCTGATGCTAAGAATGCTCTGGAGGAGAAAGGAAGGGCCATTCTGATGAAAGACAATCTCATAGATGAGTCGCTTGTCGCTGCTACCGATGCTAAAGACTTGGAGAACAAAGTCGATCAGATTGAAGCCAGTTTCGAAATCATGTCAGCAAAATTTCGAAAGCTGACAAATCAATACGATTCCTCTCAGCGTAAACTCAAGCAGCGCCTCAGTAATTTATCAAACCAGTTCAGAAGCCTCAGAGTAGATGAGTAGAGGTTGGCCATCAGTACTACATAGGGAGTGTCTTCTTTACAGGGACTAGTACACTGCATCCGCTCAGTACTTCCAAAGATGCAAAAATAATAAGACTGCCCTCAAACAATGTTTCCACACATAGACGACAACAACGGGTCGTACCACCACGTGGATCATTATGTCTTTTCTTGTGTTAGTGATAACAATAACAGGCTGCACGCGATGATCAGAAACATGTGGAGGGACAAACCTGGAATAAAAGCAAAGACAAAGCTGCCACCAATCAACAGCAGCAGTCAAGCAGGTTCTACAGGAGCACTACTTTAGCATCGGTGTGAGCATCCAACCAATACTGGTGGGAAACGTTTTCTTTACTACTCTGCCCAGAATCCCAGAGCGGCTCGTTCAGCAACGACACCATGACCTGGGCTTTGCACATACAGGACCTTCTCCTT